AGAGGAAGCAAGAGGAGGAATCTGCAATCCCATCCAACTGAACTTTACTTGGTATCAGAGATGTCCCATACCAGGACCTGAGCGGCACTCCGTCCTCTGCACAAAAAGCGCACACAAAAGATCTTATACAGTGGCTGCGTCAGGCCAAGCATGCTGGTGCTCAGCACTGCATTGCAGACCTTCTCAGAGTTGGATTTCTTGCATACGTACCCTGCATCCATGAACCTGGATGATGCTGTGCACAAGAAAAATCAATGCCTGTATGTCAGCAAGGAATAGGGTGAAGAAACAGCCTCAAACCCAGGAGGCAGGCACATTTCCTATGACTCACAAAGTTTAATGCAAAGGCCTGCTACTGGCATTGTGGGTGCAGGGTTGTTTACACCTGGTTTGGAAAGGCATAACAACAAAGGTGGTGGAGAGGGATAATACCAAGTATTACGGACTGGTACAGGGAGCTGTAAGGACTGAAAACTGGGAATAAACAAAGAAAAGAGCACTAGGAGCCAGAAGTCTATAGTAAAATAAAATGCAGTAGGACCCCATGCATGCTTGAAATGGCCTTTTAATAAGTAATTGCCTGTTATTTTTTTCCATGGGATCACTGCCTCCTCCAGTGCTGGATGGTTCTGCGCTGAGAAAGAATGGAGGTGCATTGTTTGCAGGCTCCCTTGTTCACTTCTTGCAGGAATTTCCATGTTTCCGGTTTCTAAGGCGTGAGGTGGTAAGGGAAGATGCAGGAAGGAAAACAACATAGCTGTGGAGGAACTGCATCCTGTGCTGCCTTCTGGTAGTAATTCCTGCCTCATGCTGAACAAATACCTGAGACCAAGTTGTCCACAGGTAACACCATGGTATTCTGTTTTTAACAACTTTAAAAAACAAAAATCCAACCTCCCATTGCTAATAGCTATCACGTCAGCTGGATGCAGTTCACTCTGGAAAGCTGTCAAGACATGATGTGGGAAGCCCACCTTGTAGAGAAGAATGCTCATCTGAATTGCTAAAAACAATGCTTCCTTATTAGCTCAGACGCTTCCGTATTTTAAAAATGGAGGCAACACCACTTTCTTCCTGAAACAGCTTTCAAGTGTCCACACCAGCTTTCCAAGCGAAATGAGAGGGCTAAGAGCTGGCTTCAACTCAACCTGCAACTATGATACACTCTATTTTAAACCTGTCTCTTGCCACTAACTACTGGATTAGGTAAGCTGTGACTCTTGTAACAACTCAGAAATCCAGCTCCCATGACAAAATAATACAGCTTTAGCTTCCAGTAGCAGACAGGAATCTATTGTTTTAAAACAGTCGAAAACATTTTTTGAAAATACACGCATAACTGAGTCTTGAAAAAGACAACCCCAGAGGAGTAAAATATTTGAGCGACAACAACAGGGGCTGTAAAGCAAGTCTCCGGGGCCTACATGCCTTGACGTAGACAGATGCGTAAATAGGTGGCTTGGCTTTTCAACAGTGCGAAAGTTCAGCACCATCTGTTAACTTCAATACTGTAGCATGTCTTCTAGAAGCCATTACTTCTATAGATTACATAAAGACTGAACAGTTTGGCAGAGCTCAGAGGCTGGACATCGTGACATTTCAGACCCAATGGAAATACGCAGGCACCTATGAGCATTTTTGTTCTATTTTGATAGAGCAAATACTTTGCAAAGCAATCTAAACAGAAGTGATGTAACACGCAAATTTCATGTTATACACAACACCACATCCTAGCAATTCAGCGGTTTTTCAGTCTTCGGTTAAAAAAAATCAAAGCCAGACTAAATGGTATGAAAAATGACTATTATATTACAGTTCAGGCATTTGTTTTTAAAAAGCAAGCAAATGGGACAGTATAAAAAATAAAACAGTTTTTGTGAAATCTTACCCTTGCATACAGTCTCATCTGCATACACTTTACTGTATAGTTATGCACTGTTTAGCTCCATACTTGCGCACTACTATTTGTGCCCTCATATATATTCAACAGGCACATACAGGCACATAAGCCAATACTCACTGAAAACTGCTTAATGAAATAGCTGTTTCTGAGATATTATTGTTGTTTTTCCTTGTAGCTGATGTATCAAATCGCTCGTTCTTCTGCACACACTCCTTCATTTTTCACTCCAGAAAATAATTGCAAGAGTAGCAACAGAGAATGAATTCCCTCTTCAGGCAGCAGCTGAAGAGCTTTAGTAACGTGAACGTGTCTACAGTGCTCATATAATCTATCTAAACTGTGACTTCGAGGAGAAGTACGTTCAGCTTTCACTCCTGTTCAGCCTTTGACCTCTATGCTAAATAAACAGATGGAGCGATGGTTATCAGCACCAGCTGTAACTGTTTCAGCAGCATGGACTTCTGTCCAGTAGGAATCAGACTCTGGCTATCAATACTTTTCAAAAAGGCTGCAAGCAACACACAGAATGCAGTTAAGTCTTTGTTATTTCTAACCCGAGCTGGTTTCAAACCAGTGAGCTACTATCTGAGTTTTCCACCCCTTTCATCCGTTCTATGAAGCACAACCTCATAGCAGATGTGGTGTTTGCGAAAGCCAGGAACTACAGATGTTAGCATGCACGGGACACAAAAGAGATACCCGGGAAAAAAAAAAAAAGGTAAACTGCATACAGCAATAAAATAAGCAATACTGTGATCAGCAATATCCTGACTATTCTGCTATGCAGTTTAGTGCAATGGGTGTTACATGACAACTTCTGGAAACTCACACCCCAAAGTCTGCTATACCGAAAAAATAATTACCCATTCAGTACTGTGACTCAGCTTACTTTTCTCACCTACAAAGCTAAACGTTTCCCTTACGAGAATAGTGCTGGGCATCTCAGCAATGTGCAAAGCCAAGGAATGCACAAACTGGAGAAGCGGGTACACAAGAGTTTGTGGATATGGCTGTACTGCAGAGTAAGCATGATGCTGAGAATCTCAGGCCACTGCACAGAGTCTGCACTTCCCGGCCCGACAGCTGTGTTAAGTCTGTGGCCTTACATTGTGATAAGTTTGAGACTGGAAATCTCCAGGGATTTGCAAAAAAATTACTATGAAATATATCAAAGAATACAAAAACTAGCTTCCAAAATGGACAAATACTCAGCTAGTGTAAATCAGCATAGGCCAATTGCAGGCAGCTACACCAGCGGCGACTTTCATTTACAAGAATTCTGTGCTGTAGGCTGAAAAGTTCACTTCATTTTCAGCACAGCTTAGAATGATTAAACCCCAAATGATCTTGCACTAGTACAGGACCTGAAAGCATTGCCTTAAAAATGAAATACCTAATGTTTGTATAGCATGCTTGCTACAGAGCATTAATTCACCTTAAGCCGTCTGTACACATATGGTGGGGAAAAAAAAAATATCTGGTAGACATCATTAAAAAAGCTAATTAATATCAATGTCAAGCCATCTTAAAAGTAATTTCAATAACCAGCACATTTACTGACAACCAAACACACAAACAAATTATCAAAGTGTCCACATTGATTAGCTTTAACTGCAATATGCTTTCTGAGCTGTGGGCATAAATTTTCAGACTAATTCAGATGCTGCAATAATACATGAGTATTATCCACTAGCTGAATATGTTTTTTAAAAGTGCCTTTTTGTTTTTTAGAGTGATAAACATTCTAGATAACATCTGCAAGGGCTTATTCCTCTCCATATCGACAGAAATCACAACTCTGCCTTTGGCCTTAAATCAATAGCAATAGGGACACAGTTACTCAGTAATGCACTGCTGTCTACCACCATGCTTAATTATAACACAGTGCACTATTAATACCCAGATGTAATCTCATTTGAATTATAAAGTCTTAAAGAAAAAAGGGAAACAAAGAACTATGGGCAATATGTTTAATCTTAAAATATGGGGAGTATTTCATCAGTTCTGACACAGCTGAACAAAATAAAGCCCTTGTTCATTTGTCTGTCCTCCGATCATAAAATTAACTGTTTTAAAAACCTGGAAGATTCATAAAACTTCCAATCAGTGACAAATGTAAACAAGTGAAAACCTGAGTTTTCTTTCACACAGTAGTTATCATACACATTACAGCTGAGAAAACATTTGAAAATGTGTACTAAAAATAGGAACGTGTTCACAATGGAGCTACATTTTTATAATCAGTAACAATATGTCTTTTAATGAAAAGGCAGCATAAACTGGCCTATCTCCATTGATTTCAGTGGAACTAGGCTGCTCCACAACAGCTCCAGAATGGACAGAGGTTTACAGTATGCTCCAATGCACTCCACCAAAAATAAAGAAAACTATAAAGGAAAACACTCTGATGCTTTTCTCTCCAAGAGTAAGACGTACTGTTACACGTGAGAGACATTTTTAAGAGATGCAGATTAAGAACATTCTGGTACACAGTTAAAAAAATATCCAACGTTTGCAAATCCAACAGTCTAGACAGACCATCAAAAATCACAGGATCTACTTCTCACTCCGTATGTTCTTCCCTCCTCCAGTTTCAGCCTAATCCTTAATTTAACTCATTCAAACACCCCTGCCAGAGAAAGTCAAAACAATAATGTCAAATTTAAGAAAATGCAGAAGGTGTTAAGCATATCAATACACTGTTGTCTATGTGGCAGGGCATTAGGAGCTAAGCCGAATACCAACCACCTCACCCAGACAATGTTCAAATACAAATAACAACTTTCCTCCCTCAGTTATTTTATTCATCTGGAACAGTACATTTTGTTTTTCTTACAAAAGGTCTTAAGGTTTCACTTTACATATATGTCAGGATCTGACATTTAAAAGAAAAGACATACAAGATCCACGTCTGCTGACTGTTGATCTGTCTCAAATGCCAGCGTCAAGTACAACAGCATTTAATTCCATGGTGAAAAGACATCACAGGTTCCCCCCCGCCCCCCCTATACTCTCTTGGTTTATACATCTGTGCTTCCCAGTATGGTTAAATTGGCCTGTCATGAATAACAGAAATACAAAGCAGGTATTAATTTACCTTACGCCCATCACTTGCATGGCAGTTCACATTTAAAGGAGTCAATAAAGCCATCAGTTTTTCTTCATTACCACTCCTGTAAATCGAGGAGACAATTACAAAAAGGGGGGGGGAAAACACAGAGCTCTTTGCGTAACATTGGCTAAGGAGCTGGATATCAAAGTATAGCATATTGAAATTCCTACTCTGCCAGGGAGAATGTCAGATGGCTAACAGATCTTCTGAACATTTCAAAACCAAGGGTAAATACAGAAAAGAATATTAAATTTGCAGTTAAGTGTATTATAAAATACCATGCAAAACCACCTCTTAACTTCTCTCCTTAACCTCATCTTATATTTCCTTTACCTAATTTTATAGATCCTCCGAAAGCCATTTGCCAAATTAAATGTTCTAAATTGGATACATTTTCATAGCATATGGCCCATAACATCTGAAACAGCTACATATCAATATCCAGAATTTTTTGAGAAGGGTTAACAGTCTATATAAAATGTTCTTGTGCTGTCAGAAGGAAGGATGAAAGCATCTTTGGAATATACGACTGAACTTTACACCTTTTGTATAGGCTTCGTTATGCTCTGTTCTGATAAAGCCCATTTTCAAAATATAGCTTAAGGTAGCAGAGAAAAACAAAAGAACAGAAAAATTCCAATACTTCATTTGCCCCTAAAAAGAACAGTCACAAAATGATAGAGGATTTAAGCAGCTTAAAGAAAAAACTCAATATTAACCTTATAACCACCGTAGTGGGGGATTTCAATTACATAAACAGGCTTTTCTATTTGTACCGGACTGTGAAAGTCCAAAGAGATCTATGCTAATAAAGTGGTTTGCTTGCATCATTTCGTGAAAAGGCAATGACAAAACATTACTGTTTTAAAAATCCCTTTTCCTCCCCTGCTTCCACCCCCAAAATATGCTTTATATTCTAAGCAGCACTCACCTAGCAGCTTCCAGGAGTTCGTCCTTCTTGTATTCACCTAAATGATTGCAAAATATCATGCTGTTAGCATTTGGCAGAAGACAGATTAAGAAATGCAGTAGGAAGCAAATACAGAATTAAAACAGAGAAGACGAGAAAAAAAGCCCACACCCCGCTGGGTGATGGAGCTGTGACGTTAGCCAGCTTGTGGAGGCAGCATCACCAGTACCTTGGAGACGGGCAGCAAATTGACGCATCTTCTTGTCCAATCCTCAGATGGAAAGGCTTTCTTCGGACGACCAATGACTGCGAAATCTTGTGTCCAGAAACACAGTCCCGCTGATAGCAGCATGTCAGCTGAAGACAATGTCCCCACCCCCTGCCCTATTCAGTATGTCACATTATACTTGGGAAGCATAATAAATTCTGAGACAAAAGCGAGGCAGTGCGGCTTTCTAAAAGGTACAAATGACCAGTCGCCAAAGCTCTCACCTGCCTATTTGAACTGCAATATTAGACTTCGCCAAGTTCTTCAGAACAGCAGTGATTATTTTAAAAAAATCCACCTATTTTATTGTCAGTCACTTTCCAAGAAAATACACATTTGAAATAAAAAGCGCAGACAAAAGAGCATGAACTCTCCAAGAGATTTTGTTACGAGACTCTCAGATTAGAGATAACCACGAGTCATGTTAAAGCAACATTCACATTTGAAATTCTGAGTTACAATAGACAACTCGGGAGGGCTGTTGTATCACAGGATTAAAATTGCATGTAAATATGTTAAAAAGAGTATGGAACAAGCTGACCTGTGCAAGTAAGATGGTATTCTACAAAGCTCAATCATGACAACACTGTGCAATACAAATTCACGGGAATTTCAATTCAGAAATTAGAAAAATAGCTTTTTAGCAGCTTTATGAAGTCACAGACCAGAGGGTATCCTAAGACCCACAATATGCAGTGCTTAAAAAAAACACACCGTATACCACCTGCCATTGGAATTAAAGCCGCTAACCAGAATGCTCTAAGAAAAACAGGAAGATGAAGCCATCCTGCAAGAAAGAAAAAAACTTCGTGCTGCCTCCTGTGCGCATTTGTAATACGCCTCCAGTTGACAGGTGAGGAATCCCGTCAGGCCATGGGAAATGCCAGATCGGGCTGCATTTAAACTGGAAGGTTCCTCTGGAAACAACATCCCTCACCGAAGAACTCCTCTAGGCCGTGGAGGGGGTTAGAGGTTATGTTAGCTTGGTACCACCCCCCATCACAGCTCCTCTGGTTATCAGCAGAGGGGGACGTGAACGATGACAAACCCAGCCCTCTCCTGGGCCTTGAGGAGCCTCATGTAGCTCAGTGCCCTGCCTTCACCCAAGGGTGAGGTGGAAGAGGGTGAGCACACACAGCCATGCACCTCCCACCCCACCCCCCCGCTGCAGTTGAGGAATGCTCAAAGGCACTACCTGCATCTTGTCACACTGGTGAATTTTCCTTCCACAAGTGTGTTTAATTGTTTTCCGAAACATATTCAGCTTCGGGAATTCACAGCAACCTGCAGCAAGGAGTTCCACCATGCGACTGCCTCTCACATGGGGAGTCCTTAACTGAGCGCTTCTGTGCTGACCCCAGCGACGGAGCAGATGAGTCCCACGCAAAGGCGAAGAACTGAAACTGGCATTTCAAATACAGTCCATGAAGGCTAATTTCGCTTTTGGAAGAATTTATATGTCTGGCACAAGAATATGATTGCCTTTGTCTCGCTGCCACTCTCCCAGCGTCATCAGAGGGGGTTCCTGCCCACCACAGGCAAAGCAACTGCCTTTTCAAGCCATGGTGCCCGTTCCTCTTGTTTTATTTTAATGAAGATAAAATACTGGGCACAGTTGTGAGCATTTCAAATCAATGCTGAGTGAAAAGCTCTGGACAGCGTGCGAGGAGGAAAAAAACCCCACTTTATTACCACTGCATTACTTGTGCAACAATCTTAAACAGCTGGATTTCCTGCAGGAGAGTTATTGGCCTGTATTATATCAACACTTTGGGGACCTAATCAGATTAAAAGACCTGTTTGCCCATTCTGGTTTGGCAGTGCATCTAGCAGTCCTCACCAGGCTTTTGAATACTATTAGGTTAGACAAGTGTAATAACATTTTTCCTTCGTGCTCAGTAAGTTGGTAGTTTAAAACACAAAAACACTTTCCTCGAGCACCTTGATTAGTAAAAGCACTACTGACCAGCAGAAATGGAAGGCTGTGGCTCTTGGTTTAGAAATGTCCCAACATATGACTAAGTAAATCAGATACTAAGTGGTACTTTTAAAAAATGGTATTTAGAGATACAGTCGAAATTCATACAAGCAATTCCTCAAATTCATCACAGCTCTCCCACACTGGGGTATGGATGAGGAAAGCACAATCTTGTAATTAGCTAACTTTATTACTCTCAGAGAGCCATCACATTTTGCAAAGCGACACCTAAAACTACACAAGCACTTACAGCACACCGTCAGGTTTGCCACAAGAGGCCAAGTGCGCTCCACGGGGCTCTGCTCTCGTGGCTGGGCACGGGGTGCAGGGGGACCCCTCGGCCACCGAGCCAGGGGCTGGTGGCTGGCTGGTGGCACTGTCGGCAGGACCCGCTGCTGGCGCAGG